AGGCGCAGTGGCACTCTGGGGCACGCCCCCACGCCTCCAGCTGGGCGCTGCAGCACGTGGCGGGGCGGCGTCGAGTGCGCAGCGCCGGGCGCGTGTGATCCGCACCTTTCCTCGCCGGCGCCCGGGGGAGGCCAGGGCACGAGGCCAGGCACTACCGCTCGCACCGAGACCCCCAGCTAAAGGAGCAGGCCCAGCGCAGCGACAGGGAACCTCATCCTCTTGAGGGGAGGGCAGGAAAGAGCAGCGGCCCCAGGTCGTGCGGAGGCACGGCTCAGGATGAGCTCCTGGAAGAGCCGCTGATGCAAGGTTAACGCTCAGAGTTTTCACCACAGGCCCCGCAGGACTCGGATGGAAAAGCCAGGCTGCCTCCCTTGCTGATTGTCCCCCCCCCCGGGCTGCTCTCGAGACCCAGCCTGCATGAGAAGGATGGTTACCCCAGTAATGCTGGGATACAGCAGCACACCAGTTGGGGGGTGGGGGGCCGGGGAAGATTTATTCCAGGCCTCTTACTCCTAATGCTATGTAACAGTAGTTGAAGTAGTAATCTAGGACTCAGCGCCTACAGCATCTGGGCACAGCTACAGCACCCCAAAGGGAAGCAAGAAACAGGTTCTCCAAGCACTGCATAAGAGACCTGCACCCACCCGTGGTTCAGAGAAGAGCAGGCCTGCTCCTCCAACCCACCCTGCTGTCCCTTTTTCCCTTGACCTGCGCCTGCCCATTCCTAGCCCAGACCACGCCATGCACAAGAACACGCTGCTGCAGCCTCCAGCAAAGTTAGAAGCACCCCAAACAAAATAAGGATCCTGTTGTATGGCTGAGTTGCTGGTTCAGCAGGTTTGTAAATAAAGATACATCTTTTAGACAATGCTGGAGCACCAGAACTGCCTGCACTTTGGGAGGGAGGCAGAGAAGTTTCTATCCAACTGTGCATAGGTGGGGTGGGGGGGGAAGGAAAGCAGAGTTAGGCAAAACCCAGCTTCAATCAAATCAGTACCCTAGGCCCAACACCCACTGCTCTGGATGGCCAACTACAGCATCTCTGCCATCGAGGAACAGGACAAGTGTGTCCCTTCCAGGAGAACGGAGCACACAGTTCACACCTTGGAGCAGAGGAACCCAGAGCCAGGCTGTCACAGCAGCCTAGCCTGAAGAGCCACAGCCACCCAGAAAGGCCTAGACCATCGCCCCAGCCTTTTCCAGTCCAAGCTTTGTGGGACTTGTTGGGAGGGAGAAGAATGGTCAAGGACAACTCGGTCCTTACTCCCAGCCTCAGCTGTGGTACTGCCTCCTTCCCAACCAAGGCTGGTCTAGTGTCCTCCCTTACTTGCTGATGAGGTAGGAGGGAGGTGAACACTTCCTGCTGGCAAGATGATGAGGCCTGCCTTCCTGTTCAAAGGATTAGTTGCTTTTGCCACACTTGCACAAAAGGTCCTTGTACCGCACCTTACAGGGCGTGTTTGTGCTTCTGCGCGAGGGAGGAGTGTGGGGCTCTCTGGTGCAGCTGATCTGGTAATAACTTGTACACCATTACTTACTGCACACCAAGAACAGTAGCTCGATCCAGCACTTCAGTCCTGCTTTCTCACCTCTCCTCTTGCAACCAGGCATTTATCCGTGCTACAGGCCGCATAGTCCCTGCATCATACCTGGGGAAGTGGACATATCCCTCCCAGAAGATTCTGCTCAGATATGAGTTCTGCCCAAGCACGAGCTCCAGTTCTTGTCCTTGTGAAAGAAGGGAGAATGGCTGGTATTCAGCTGCCAATCGAACCTGGCCCACTTCTTCATTTCTGGTGATGTTTTAGGTGTTTGGCAGCAGGATCAGTGCTATTTCACAGGCTGATTTCATGACCTCCCTCAGAGGAATCTCACATTGCGTGGTCCACATCTGCAAGCAAACAGTCAGCCACAGAAGAGAACTAACACCCATTACTGCCCAGTCAGCTGGGGTTTTGTGATCACAGGCCACCCCATAGCTGCCTGCAAGATCAGGGTCACACTGCCCTCTCCTCTCTCACACCACAGGCATTTTTAACACTGACTTCAGCGAGAAGGCATCGCACCCCGTGTGACGCAGGGCTCTCACTGCCGCTTGTGACCGCCGCGTATACACTCACTTGCTGTACAACAAAGATGTTCTGAGACCAAAACCAAAAAAAACCCACAGCCAATTAAAAACAGGCACCACTCTCCTCCAGCTGCATCAAAGACAAATTGAACTTGGGCCTGCAACACACGTCAGCGTCTAAGAGACACAAGGGAATGCCTGCGCTGTCCTGAGGATTAGCAGGTGCTAGACACGACTCCCAAGTCTGGTGGCCTCTCCTGCCAGGAGTTGCTATTTCTGCTGACAGCCCTGTCACCTGCCTTGTGGGCTCCTGTTGCAAACTGCCACATGGTCCCAACCCCCAGCATCTGATCCTTTTGTCTCCTCTTTACTATGAGGGCGTATGTCAGCTAGCTTCTTAGAGTAAGAGTCCTAAACGAGCACCCTCCATGCCTGAGCTGGCCTCCCAAAGCCAAGAATTAAAAATATACCTACGCACAGGAGCATGGTCCCAAAGCACAGACAAGTGCTAACAGCGCCACTCTCATAGAAGTGAACGGCTCAGGACATGCCAATTAAGCAAGCTGACAAGCTTGTAAAAGTGAGCTGCCTCCTGTACCTAAGGCCAAGCAGGTTGTAACAAAAGGCCCTCGAACATCGAGCAGCTCCATGCACGCGCCATTTCCATTTCAGTCAAACCCATTTTGCAGCGATTTTCCATCACCGCTGACCCTGAAGACCAGCTGCTCTGAGTATTTGGTTCTGTTGACTGTTCTGCCTGGAAGAATCCCTGGAACAGGCTTTATGGTGGCTTGAGAAGGACCTTTGCGTCTCCAGGCTCCACAAAGAAAATGGTTTCCCCATTGTAGCTTGCAGCAGATGAGACACCACTGAATCCTCAAAGAACGCTTATCCGTCTTTCTTCCCTGCAAGGTGTCACCTTCAGAGGCACCTGCTATGGAAATGTGATCTAAGCTTGGCTGGCAAGAAAGGACAAGATACATGAAAGTGTCCAGATTCTAGTCAGAATGAGACAGATGAGGGGGCAGCCGCAAGGTCTGAGCAGCTGAAAAGAATAAAGGAAAAGGAACCAGTTGCTTGTGCTGGGACTGCATTTTATTGCGAGTGGAATATGAAAGTAAGAAACATCTGAGGCACCAAAATGTTCCCTGCTTGGAGAAGACAAGTCTGGCTCTCAGCTACCATCTAAAGGAGTCTCGCTGTCGCTTTGAGAAGCTCCTGCGTTCCATGCAGCAGTGACTAATGACTCCATAGCCGGTTTTGCCAGTGCCACTGAAGCAACCCCTTGTCTGGCTCTGGATTTCCCTGAGCTGCTAGAGACCTGGAGCTCCCAGGAAGCCCTAAGACAGGGACAGCAACAGGCAACAATCTACAAGTGGCTCTGCTAGCTGGATCTGGCCCAAGGATGCAGGGCTTCAGTGGCACTGGGCAGCGGGGGCTTCCTGGCAGTCACTCCCCCACACTTCTACAGAGAAAGCAACAGTGGCAGGTGCTACCTCCATGCTGCCCCAGGGAAAAGTGGCGGCAGTGGCTGGGTCCTACCACTTGACCACTACCCACCCGACCTGCAGCCCAAAAATTTTGCTGACCACCGCCCCATGGCATCTCATTAGTTTAACCCAAAGAAGAGCTGAGAAGCAGCTGGAGCAGACACACGTTCATCCCAGCACCCACTCTGCACCTCCTGATGTCAGCTGGCTCCAGCTGCTGCATCCAAGCGTCAGGCAACAACTGGAGAAGTCCTGAGCACCCATGGGCTGCAGCAGCACCTGGCATGGCCCACAGTCAGCAATCTTCCTCCCCCTGTCATTGTTAACTCTTTGCTAACCAAAGACAGAAATAAAAAGAGGGTTGTTTAATGTCAAAGGACAAGTGTATTTATGCAGCCCCTTCTGGGCAGAAGGGCTCCAAAGCACAATACAGACAGTGCCCAGCCCACACCACTTGCTCAGCCTGCTCATGGCTGAGCCCCTAGAACTCCAGTCACGGTAGGAAGTGTTTCAAGCTCTTGCTGGAAGAAGGCTGGACCTTTTCGTCTTTTAAGTGGACATTGACAGCATAGGGAGCCTCGGACAGGCTGCAAGCAAGACGAGCACCAATTTACAAGCAGCTGTGTGCCCATGGGTCCAGGCAGATGCTGGAGCCTACCCACCTTTGCCTGCTATGGAGACCCAGGCCTCAGAAACTTGATTTTTGTTCTTGGTTCCTTTCTCCTTCTACCTACATCCCATGTCCACTAGATGATGCAAGGGTAAGAGGCAGGACCTGAAGATTTGCCCAGGTCTCAGCATTAATCTCTTCTCAGTCTGGAATTCTGCCAAAGCAGCGCGTTCTACTCCATTGCCTTGGATTTATTCACGAGTCTCGGCAGCTCCACACCACACAAGCTGGCCCTGCCCAAAGAAAGAGCTCAATTCTTCAGCATCACGCTGAGCTTCAGGTGGACGTCACAGAGGAAGATGTCCGACAGGTCATTCCCAGCCTCCTGGGCGATCCTGCTGATTATAGCACCATCCCTGCCGATCAGCATGTTCTGCACCGGCACAGAAAGAGAACGTCAGTGCAGTTCATCAAGGCAGCCTGCGCTACCCACCAGGTAGGAGAGCTCCACAGAGCAGCACAGCCACTGTGCAGGCCAGAGAAGGGAATACTTATGTTAGAAACACCACTCACACCCTGGAAAGGTGCAGCTCTCGGTAGAAGGCACCTGGAGGCCTCTGGCCTCAACCTCACGCTAGGGCAGCTGGGCATTAGCAACAGATTGTGCCAAAGGGGAGGGTGTGGATAGCCCATGGCTGGCCAATGCACGGACTGGGACGCTTGCCCGCTCAGGCATACGCCTAATCAAAGAGAAGGCAGGAAAGAGACCCTTCCGCCACCCTGTTCTCTCTTGAGGTGGGCTGGGAGTGGCAGAACCTTTCACTGGACCAGCTCTGCAGTTAGGAGAAAGGTGAAAGAAGCTTTCAAGCACAAACTGCCCTTCTGCAAATCTCCAACCCCACTGCTACTGTAGACTCTTGTCTACGGGGGCACAGCAGGGCCGGCCTCACCTCTTGTTTAAACCTACCACAAAACCAGCGAAAGTTAATACAAGTTATGTTGCGCCTGACCTGCTGTTCGCAGCCCCACTGTACCAGGCCATCACTAATGCAGTCAGCAGCCACACGTAGGGATTCAGAGAAGCAGTTTCTTGTGCTTTGTGTTCCGCACACACCAGCAGCCGGGGGGTGGGGAAGTGAAGTCAGTGCCGTGACCCTCACCTTATGCGTCATCTTCTGGACCAGCAGGTTCTGCAGGATGACGAGCTCCCCAGCTGGGCCCTCACTCCAGCTCTCTGTCTTCTGCAACAGCAGAACAGAACCACAATGAATGCGGCACCTCAGGAAGAGCAAGTCCTCTTCCTCCCAGGGTCACACCCCTGCCTTTTCACCCATACCTCAGGCAGGGGACTGCGTTTCCCAGCACTGGGCTTGGGGCTGACAGTGCCACATACCCTCAAACTTGTTTCGTCAGAGACTTCAGCAGCTCTTTCTGAGCCAAGCCACTTCCTACCTGAAGCACAGCGTAAGGCACCTCCTCCGGCATGTACTCCAGCAGCTTCTCACGGACGATGTTGTCACAGATCTCCTGAGGGGACTGGCTGGTCAAGACCCTGCTGTGGAACTTCCACGGGCCTGGCTTGGCTTGCAGCAGGAGGTATCTCTGCCAACACAAAGAACAGGGGCAGTTACCTATTGCCTGGCACTGTCACATGGTGCTTATGCCCTCCATGGCTAGTCTTTCCTAGAAGCACCACAATACTCTCTCTCTGGTCAAACATTAGCACATTTACGCTGCCACATTTGGCAGGGGAAGGGCAAATTTTGCTTCCCAAAACAGACTTTGCCAGGGTTCCTGCGTCCCTCAGAACAGACCATACAAGCTGGCGAAAGGATGGAAACAAAAGCATGGGATTTCAGGTCCCCTGTGCCTTCTGCAGCTTCAGCCCACAGGGAACAAGTGTAGGTGCTTGAGCAGAGTGTCACCAGAAGTCCAGACAAGGTTCTTTGTGTAAATGTGGTATTTTCTATTAGACCAACTAAACAGTTGGAAATTTTTTTGCAAGCTTTCATGTATGTATCCAAAATCTTGCAAAGAACAATTTGTCCAACTATTTAATTGGTCTAATAAAAGATACCACATTTATGCAAAGAACCTGGTCTGCCTATGTCCTTAGACCAACACAGCCTCAACCAACACCACCAAAAGTCCAGGGCAGAAACAAGGCAAAAGTTGCTGTTCACGCGTACACTGAAACAGGGTGGAGCTCCCATGCCCAGAGGGCATTCACCACCAACCTGCCACAGACCCCTCAGGGACCTGCAGGCTCCTAAGCATGAGAAAGGCAGACAGAAGCTAGCACCCCTATTCCCCCACGGGACAGGCAGCTTGGTGTAACTGAGTTAACCAGGGGTGCTGCAAGGGGGCACATTGCTGAGTATAACGGCAGATGCAAAATCCAAGCGCTCTGGGTACTTCACCTTCAGCGTATCCACCTCATCGGCATGGAGAGCCGCCAGCATGAAGACCTCCCGGAAGTGCGGCCAGCCTTTCCTGTTCTTCACGCCTCCAGGCACAGGGGGGCTTGGCACAGGCACTTCTTCTGTGCCCTCCAAAGTGTGGAGAAGCCCCGAGGACCTGACAGTGCTATCAGCATCTAAGCCAGAGTCCAGCTGGACTTGACCAGCCTTCGGTGGGTAACTGGACTCTTTGGCTGCATTTTCAGGCAGAGAAGCCTGGGCACCCTGCAGGGGGTTGCTTTTGGTGGAACACGAATGAGGTTTAAGCAGTGGTTTCACTATCTGCTTCTTTCCATTGACTACTCCCTCAGTGAGCTGTGCTACCAGGTCCAGCAGAAGGTACTTCTTCTTCAGCAGGTCCACCTGTATGAAGGGAAGGGGGAGAAATCAGGAGTTTGCCCCACTGGCAACAGGTTGGCAGCACCCAAGGTTTCAAGCAGCTATTCTTATACGTTAACTGAGCCAAAAGAGAACAAACCCTTGCTGGTGGTTGCAGGGGAAGGTGCTTACAGTTTAGCTAGCATGCTATGATTTTCCACGACAGGGCAGGAAGTCAGCACATTTGTAGCTCAGGAATGGTTATTTCCAGCTTTCTGGTCTCTGAAATTCAAACTCTAGCTGAGATTTTTTAAGATGCAGGGCACCCACTGAAAGACTTGCCATGTGTTTCGGTCTATACAGAGGAGAAAGGGGCTTATTCCAGACTCTCAATGCCCCACCATAACTTATAAGAATAAAATTGAGCCACCCAGCGAACACCAAGCCTTGCTCCCCAAATCTGGATTCAAAAGCCCATTTCTGTATCACATGAAGGTACATGCCTTCCAGTATGCCTCAGGTCAAAAACTATTCTGAAACAGAGGAAAAAAAAAAAACCTGCCCTAGAGTTCAGTGACCCTCATCCTCTTTCAGCATGATTTTGGATCCAACTCAAGCATCTCCACCAATCCCCACTGTGGCAAGCAACATGGTATGACGAGAGATATGATCTCTCACGTGGCTGCAAGCTAAGCCACGTAGCTCTTTACCGAACGAAACCAACACCTTCAGTTTAACCCTGAAAACAAGAGGCTGCCAGCACAGACCATGGCACACCGATGACATGTGCTGCCCCTGAGAGGCAATGGCTTGCTACAGCCTGCACCAGATAATATTTCCAGGCTGACCCGAATTAGAGTCCTGTGTAAGTGTACTGCAGAACCCAAGCCTGGACACAGAGGCATGACTTACAGTAGCAAGATGTGCACTTTGCAAGACTAAAGCTTCCTCCTGTGCAGCAAGAGAAAAGAGGCTGAAAACCTTAAGTCCAAAAGCCACAGGAGAGAACATACAGCATTTCTTTAACATCCCCACCTCCTCTTCCCCCCCATAGGTATAAAGGAAAAAAGGCCTGTAAATAATGGACAAGGTACCAAGGCAAAGTTTTTAGAGCAAGTGATGGTTCTGCGGGGTCCACATTTTAGGGCCATCTGTGGACACTTTAAAGGTTCTGGTTTTCAAAAAAGGGACTTGACACATTATGAAAAATAACAGGTCCTTTAATACACCCAGTCCCAGTCACTCAAGAAACCAAAGAAGGAATCAAACCACAAGTAATTTCAACAAGTCATAACCTACTCACTGTACAAGGAGCCACAGCCCTCATTTACCTTGTTCAGGACCAGGACACTAGGAATCTGTGGAAACTTAGAAAGACACTTCAGCACATGGGGACTCAGATGGTTCCGTGTCCAGTGATCCGACACATCCACCAAAACCAGAACTGCCAAGCAGAGAGAAACAACTGAACCCTCTCTTTGCACAAATTGGCCTGTGGTTCCCACTTCACCAAGATCCCGGGTCATTAGCTTTCTCAGCTTAAAAATCCCCAATTCTCTGATGAAAG